AACGCCCCTCAGCACACCCACACCCACGAGCCTGGCAAGCTCTGAACCCCCCTCAGCACACCCACACCCACGAGCCTGGCAGAATGAAGCCCTGCCTTTAAAGTGGTTCTGCCTCCTGCCCACAGTTTGGGCCGAGGTCCTTCACATCCTCCTCCAAGCCTCGCTGGGAAAGATGGGGGCTGCCGAGAGGGCTGCTCCCTGCTCTTACAGAGGGTGGAGTTCAATTCCCAACATCTGCAACTGGCAGATCACAACTCCAGCTCCAGGGGACCTGTCCTCTTCTGGCCTCTGTGGGCACCCATACCAAAGCTGTCACATTTCTATGCCAACCATGTGACTGCCACTGAACTGCATCCTAACTCCTAGTTTCTGGATTTTACAATTTTACATGTGTACATGTATGTGTCTCTCCCACGCCTGTCCTCGTGCATGAGGATGGAAGAGGACGCTGGAGCTGTTAACAGCTGTGAGCCATGGTGAGGGTCTGGAATTGAACTCAGGACTTCTACAAGAACAAGTGCTCTTGTTCTTGAAGCCACCACTCAGCCCAGCTTCTGGATTGTTCTGACAGCCTCACTATGGAGCCAGGCCAGTCTTGAACGTGGACTCCTCCTGCCTCAACTTCCCAAGCACCAAGATTGCAGGCATGCCCCACCATGCCCAGCTTGTTTCTGGAACCACACGAAAACGTTTTTTAAGAATTTCATTGACTTCCACAGCTAACACAGAAAGGGGAGCTGAAGGTGATAGCTACTTCGCAGGACTTGGGGGTGGGGCGCAAATAAGCAGCAGCTGAATGAGCTGCCAGCATCCCATAATAGCACCGTATCCCCCTCAGCCGAGCTGACGACGCCAAGCAGTTTTTAGGAACTGATAATATATACAGGAAGGGGAAGATTTAGAGCCCCCTGGGAACCCGCTGCTTTAATTTACCGGGAAGATTCATCCGAGAAACAGTGCGGAGGGCAAGGTGAGAAGCATGGCTCAGAGGCTGAGGTGAGCAGAGGCAAAAGAGAAGCTTCAGCCCTCCCAGCCTCAGCCATTCCAAGGGCTGCATAAAAGCAATGGTTTCCAATTACCTGAGGTACTAATTGAAGAGCCAAACATAAATCACCTGTAAGAGCTCAGGCTTCTCCTGCTGAGGGCAGGCCTCCCCCTTCCCGGGAAGATTAGTCTTCCTCATAGCAAGCACGGAATGAAAGCCCCTGCCTGTCATTCTCTGACACCTGCAAGCAATCAGGGCTGTGGCGCTCTGAGGCCCTCTCCACAGGGGGACTGACCCCCAACTTCCCACATCCTTAGCAATCGCAACCTCCCCAAGAAAGGGTTTTTAAAACAGGCAGCCGTGCACTGCAGTCCTGGAGCCGCCATTCAGACCTCTGTCAGTGAGACCTTCAAAGGACTCGGAGATACCGGACGATCTCAAGTGACGTGTTCAGAGCAGATGTTAGGTCCCTGCAGTGTCGTCATGAGGCACGAGCCCCCAGCAAACAAGGCGCCACAGAACTGAAATACACCACCAGATGGGGGCGGTGATGTCAATGGACCTCAATTACACAGCCAGCTTTTCTACCCACCTGGCAAACATCTCAAGGTCTTTGGCAAAATTTTCTGAAAGAGAGGGGAAAAAATAGATATCAGCTGGCTCATCTCCACCTCAGAAGACTGAAGCCTTGGCTTCCAGTCAGCAGACTCGGCAAACCTCGGAGGTGAGCAAAGGCACCCCAGGCGAGCAGTTACCAACTTTTTTTTTTTTTTAAGTTGTTCAGGACAGGATTTCTCTGTGTAGCACTGGCCATCCTGAAACTCACTGGTCCAGGCTGGCCTTGAACTCAAGAGACCCACCTGCCTGTCTCCTGAGTGCTGAGATTAAAGGTGTGCGTCACACCAGGCCTCACCAGCTTTTCCAAATCATGGCTGCGTCTCTGTCCTTCCCAGCACCCTCCACTCCTCTTACAAATCTTGTCCTACCTGTGATGACACCCTTGGTCGCTAGGGACTGTCCTGTACATCTGCGAAGTATAGTAAGAACTCTGATTTCCTCACAAGTGAGTGCCAGCACCAGGACGCAGCCGTCACGCACACTATGGGAAGCATGGCCGTGTCACAGAGCAACGAGACGGAACGTGTCCAATGTTCCGGCCATCGTGGCCGTTTAAACGAGGGGAATGACTGGTATTGGCACAACAGGACAACCTAACAGTCCTTCCCACACAACACCCAACTCTTCCAGCCACGAAGTGATCAGGGAGTCCGTGGCCAGGGTGTGTGTGTGAGAGGGGATGAGCCACGCCACAGCTCCCACCCACACGGGTCCCCGGTGAAACCCACAGAGATGGCCTGGCCTCGTACCGCACTGTCGGAAAGTCACCTCCGCGATGGCCGCCACGGTCTGCTTGTTGAACTGCACCTGTTTGTCCAAGGCCACTTCGTTGCACAGACAGCCGACTGTGTAGTGAACTGCTGCCTTTAGCCTCTGTGGGGAAATCAAAGTCCTTCAGGGGCTGCAAGCAGGAGCTCACACATCCTCAAGACCAAGGAGAGGGGCTGCCCGGCCTGGTTCCTGCAGTACATTCCATCATGGCGGAGTGACACGCAAGTGCACTAATCAGTTAACGACACCCTCTGGAGTGTGACTTGGGGGGACATGACTTTCCAACTAATGGTTATGATTTAGGTCCCATAAAGATGAGAAACCACGTTAGTCAGCAAGGAGCAATGACAGCAGCCCTTGCTGCAGCCTTTAGCCACTGACCAGGCCCTGCTCGGGAATACAATGAAAAATCAGTCTGCGGCCTTAAAATAACTAACGGAAGACAGAAAGACCCCATGCCTCGGTTCCAAGTCTCTAGCAGCCACAGCCCTCCACGCCCAGGTGACAGGACAGCAAGGGCTGAGGCCTACACATCTGACCATCTCTGGTTTAGAGGGTCACCAGCCACCACAATGGTCTTCCTGTCCCACAGGAATTACCCTCCCCCATTTTTGGCAGTGCTGGGGATGGAACCAGAGCCTCACACACTAGGCGAACACTCCCACTGAGCCTCATCCTAGTCCCCAGAAAGCCTTTTAGATACTGAAAATGTCACTCCTTCCGAGGCAGATGTATCAAGGGGAAGCAGCAGCCCTGCGGTTTCTCCACTGATGTGCGACCTCCTTCCCCGCGGAGATGTAAACCAACCTCTACCCCTCTTCACCAGCACCAGCAAATAGTTCCATCCATCACCCATGTTTAACTTGGGGAACCAGTACATTTAGTGGGCACCCCTACAGAGCACGGGTGAGCCCAGAGCAGCCACAGGACTGCAGTCTCACCCAGCATGGATGATAACTTCCCCATGATTGCACACTGAGTGCCCCCTCCTGGTAACCTTCTAGTCCACATTCTCTTTCGCCCCGAAACCCTGAGGCCAAGTGCAATGAGGGCAGAATTATATGCATCTGCCTGGGAAGGGCAGGCTGGGGTGACTGAGATCAGGTGAGGGTCTACTGGCCCTACCCCCCTCCGATGAGGGGCATCAACAGTTCTCAGGCCTGACGGTAAGGGTCTTTCAGGGTCTCTCAAGTAGTCACGGCTGCCCTGTTTGGAAGACAGAACCCAGGCAGGCGTGGTGTCACCTGAATCCAAGACACTAGCAAGTATCCACCACACAGGCAGGATGAGGATCAACCACAGAGATGGTCCAGGGCCTCTGGGCGAGGTCAGGCAGATGAACTTGGGACCTGTTCCCCAAGCCCCTTGTCTGCTTAGACATCAGACAAGCAAATCCAGCCTTTAGCAGATCAAAAGAATCATCAACCTAGAAGGGCAAAGACCTTAAGATCCTTTCGGATGTGAGTGGGGGCTGGGGACAGGACACGATTCCTGAACACATGTGGCTCTAGGAAGTTTTGTCTGCCCCTGCTGCTGGGCCGCTTTCCTCCTGCAGACCTTGGAGGCTAAATCATGAGACTTGAAACTCAAGGGAGCACCTTGTCCACCTTATTTCATGCTGTCTGCCTGACAGGAATGCTGGGGTCCTCAGAGCAGAGATACAAATTTGAGCTCTTTTTTTGTTTGTTTTTTGAGACAGGGTTTCTCTGTGTAGCCTGTCTGTCCTGGAACTCCCTCTGTAGACCAGGCTGGTCTCGAACTCACAGAGATCCACCTGCCCCCGCCTCCCGAGTGATGGGATTAAAGGTGTACGCCACTACCCACCGCCCCACCTGAGTTCATCTTTAGGGCCTCATTTAATTAGTGAGCACTTACTGTCTCCTAAGAGCCAGGCTTGGCTCTCAGAGCTGAGACTACAGAAACAGAAAGGCCCAGCAGTGTAGTTCAGTGGCAAAGTGCCTGCCTGGCATGTGTAAGGTCCCAAGTTCCGTCTTTAGCACCACACACACACACACAAAATAATAATAATAAAATTAAATAAAAAATAAAAACAAGATTTCCAGACACGGTGATGTGTGCCTTCAATCTCAGAACTTGGGAGGTAGTGGCAGGGGGAATTTCTGTGATTTCCAGGCTAGCCAGGGCTAAACAATAAGACTCTGTCTTTTAAAAAAAAAGGGGGGGGATGTGTGGTCGGGTAGTGGTGGTGCAGGCCTTTAATGCCAGTACCAGGGAGGTAGAGGCAGGCTGATCTCTGTGAGTTCGAGGCCAGCCTGGGCTACAAGAGCTGCTAACCCTGACAACCTGATTTCGGACAGCACCCCCATCAAAATAAATAAATATAATAATAATAAAAAGCCCCATAGCCCCTGCTCTCCCATCCCACCCTGGCCTTTAGTGCATTCTTCACACCTGCCAGTGTCACTGATTGAGTGATGGCCCAGGAGACAAGAGTAACCCTTGATTTGATCCTAGATGAAGAGAGAAGACAACCAAACCTGCAGGACAGATGGAGGCATTCGATTACAGACTGGACATCCAACAAGGGAATTCTATTCAAGTTAGACAGCCAAGCTGTTCCAGGCCTGGTGGCCTGGAGTGCCTGACATCCCAGCACGGGGGAGGTGCAGGCAGGAGATCTGAAGTTCAAGGCCAGCATGAACAACGGGGTCCAGTCTCCAAACACTGAGCAAACTTCTGAAATGTGATAAACTATGGGGAACTTGTCTGCGGGAGATGTGTGCCGAACTAGCCACCTGGTCATTTCATTGGATATTTATTTTATTTTTTAGATAGGGTCCCGCTGTAACACTGGCTGGCCAGGAACTCAGAGAGCCTCCTGCCTCTGCCTCCCCAGGGCTGAGATCAAAGCGTGCCACCACGCCTGGCTTCATCTGATCTTAGAGTTAAATGGTGATCAGCTGATCTGTAAGCGGGGTCAGGGCTTTAACACTTAAATAGGAGCCTGACTACCTGACAACAGCGCTTGCTACGAGAGAACAGAGAGCAAGATGCCAACAAGAGAAAACGACGGTGGCACTGGGGTGCCCATGGCTCGACCAGCAACACTTCTAATCGCAGAGCAGCAGGAACCCAGAACTACCTCAGGAAGCCCAGTTCCGCTCGCCACCACGGACAGGTCGTTATTCCTATCAAAACTTTGCAAAGGAGAAAACTGCCTTTGGGCCACAGCAAACAGAAGCTAGAGGGGAAATGACAACCCACGCCAGGGTGGATGCCAGGGCAGCCGGCCAGGGGCTGAATTCCGGCTCTGCAGCCCCGCTCTCCCTCTCTACGAACACATCAGGCCCCTCGGGACTGCACACCTTCAGGTCTCTCTCGCTCTTCATCCCTTGGTCTCTCTTTGATAGGCTCTCTCTACGTAGACTAGGCTAGCCGAAAGCTCTGAGCTGCTGGCTCTGCCTCCTGGGCGCGGAAGAAAAGGCCCGAGCCTGGCGGTGGTGGCGCAATCCTTTAAACCCAGCACTCGGGAGGCAGAGGTAGGCGGACCTCTGTGAGTTCGAGGCCAGCCTGGTCTAAAAGAGCTAGTTCCAGAACAGGTTCCAAAGCTACAGAAAAACACTGTCTCGAAAAACCAGGGGGGGAAAAAAAGCCTGAGCCCCGACGCCCTGCCCTCTCTAGCTTTCGAGACCAGGGAAGCTAACTGATCTGAAACCCATAATCCTCCTGCCTCGGCTTCTGCATCAGTCCCACCTCCAGTTTCCTTTCGAGACAGGGTCTCCGGTATTCCAGGTTGGACTCGAACTCGCTGAAGACGACCTTAAACTTGCTTCTGCCTCCACCCCACAGTACTAGGATCACAGTCGTTCGCCCCCCCCGAGGCCCGTTTGTGCGGGGCTGGGACTCGAACCCACGGCTTCACGAATGCTGAGCGAACATTCTGCCAACCAAGGGCCGCCTTCTCCCATGAGCGCCCACATTCCACCCTCACAGCCCTGGGAAAGCCGGGGACACTGGAACTCGCCATCCTGACTTGCTGAGACCCCGTTTATCGTCTACCTGCCGGTGAGAGAACTGCCGCTGCTCCTCCGCCTCCGTCTCCTCCATCGCTGCGGAGCTCCCCGGGCAGGCGCACCGCGGTCTAGTCAGATTTTCCCGCTCTGCGTGCGCGACGGGCTGCGCAGAGGGTCAAAGCGCGAAGCGCCTCCTGCCTGGCCCGCGCGCGCCCCCTGGCGGCGGTTTGTGGAAGGGTCTTGCTGGCGTTGGTGCGACCCCAGGATCAGGTGCAGCACCCTAGAGGCTGTCTCAAGTCCTGCCACTTCCTTAAACATCTGTAAGAACATGCATGAGATAGCTCAGTGGTGATGCACGCCTTTAATCCCAGCACGCAGAAGGCAGAGCAGGTGCATCTCTGTGAGTTCGAGGTCAACTTGGTCTATAGAGTGAGTTCCAGGGCAGCCAGGACTGTTACACAGAGAGACCTTGTGTGTGTGTGTGTGTGTGTGTTTTGGGGGGGATACATATGTTCTGGGCGTGGTGGTGCACCTCTTTAATCCCAGTACTTGGGAGTCAAAGGCAGGTGGATCTCTGTGAGTTCAAGACCAGCCAGGGCTACTTAGTGAGGTTCTATCTCAAACTAAAACAAAACAAAACAAAACAAAACATTGTTCAGACCATTATATACATTTCAGTGACTTTAAAAAAGAAAAAAAAGGGGGCTAGAGAGATGGCTCAGTGGTTAAGAGCACTGACTGCTCTTACAGAGGACCCGGGTTCAATTAGGTCACAACTGTCTGTAATTCTAGTTCCAGGAGACCCAACACTCATGGCAAAACACCAATGTATGTAAAATATAAATAAATAAATATTTTTTAAAAAAAAAGAAAAAGAAAAAAAAAAACAAGCAAAACCAAGTCCATGAAGAAAATGGCTTTTATGCCATGCAACCTCAGGATGCTTTGCAAAGAGCCACCAACTGCAGTGACCCCAAATAACTTACATTTTCATTAAATCATGCAAAAAATATTACATCTTCCTGGCACATAATTGTCTCCTTAACCACTGAACAGTTCAGCCATTGGAATAAAGTGTACATTGTATAGATTATAGTAGCTGACTGTATTATTGTATACTTTATTAAATGTGAACTTGTACCCCTTTATTTTAAAAGGTCATTGTGTTCTACTGCCTATTTTAGATGACTTTGGGTTGGGGAAGGGCGTTAGGGAAGTAGAATTGTAACCTCCCTCGTGATTGGTTTTATGAAGATAGAAGGTTAATACTCTTACCACAAAGCTCAGGATTCTTCATCCTAAAGGTACAAGGATCAGTGTGAGGATTTTATTTTTGGTTGTATTTGAGCTGGATGAATGGTGGGGTCTGAATACAGATTATTTCATGGTCTAATGAGGAGGTAGGGCACAGATAACTGATCGGTTTGAGTGACTGCAATGTGTTCTGGGTGCACAACAGTTAGCATGCTGTGGTTTTATTTGTGATGTCTGGATGCCTGTGAAGAGGATTCAATGCATGTCTCTACTAGTTCAGTGATTTCAATGTAGGTTACCCATTCCCTGCGTCTAAACTGGAACAGCTCCCGCGCTATGTTGACTTTATTGGTAGTATTGAGCAGACCTTGGTTCGGCATGAAACTAGTTGCAAAACCCACTATTTTGGAAATAAAAATGTATTTTGACATATACAAATAAAATGAATAAACCTATTTTAAATGTGTGAACTTTAAAAAAAACCCAAACACGTTATCACCTACAATTAACAAATGATAAAATATTACCCCTGCAAGCCTGATGCCCACAGAAGAGACCTCTGACCCCCACTGTGTGCTCACACTCGCACACAGCACACACACAAGAGCTAACAAGTGTAAATTACTAAATGCGGTGCTTTCTATGGACACTCATACACTGCCACGGACCGGTTCAGGTGAACCACTCCGACCGTGGGAGAATCAGGGCTCAGGCTCAGGAGAATTTCAGAAATCAGCGATGAATGACAGACAGACACCCTCAATGTGACTGAAAAATGCTGCTGCACTTTACTTCAATTAGTGTAAGGCTTTTATATTTTTACAAACAAAGAACTTGGCAAAGGCATACATCATCAGATCATTAAAAAAAAAAGCATAAAACAGTTTACAAAAAGAATCTTTGAAAATGCTTTGACTTGGGCACAAGGACTTTCGCTCAGTCTGTACGAGGCGGCTGGCTGGGCTAAATGATCTTGTGCTCAGAATATCTTGGGGGTGTGAGAGGAGAAGGCCACTATCTTCCTGGGAGAACTTTCTGCTAGGAAATTTTAAAGACATGATCTCAAACTTGTCTGAAACTGGTCTCATACCATTAATCTCAACTCTCCTCCCTCCCCGACTCTCAGGGTCAGATGTTGTAATCAGCCTAGGTTTTCTGGCCATAAGGAAGGCTGCATAGGCCTCCTGTTAAATCGCACGTATTCCCCTCAGGCAAACATCTAATGTTGCTGCAGCTGTTTTCCTACAGAAGGCTTCTAAGGTTTCTCCTGATAAGAGCAACTCCTTTTGCTCCACATCATTAAGGAATTATTTTAACGATGACCTCCCAATTTCCAGAACTGGCTATTTCCTTAAAGGCTTTAATGAATGATGGGGCAGAGCTCAAAAATGTCCTCAGTAGTCTTGTTTGTATCCGCAACTGCCTGGAATAGTCTGATCTGTTAGTAATATGCAAGGATCACAAAGAACACAAAGACAAGGGAAAAGACAGACATATAGCGCCAAGGACAGCGAGGTCGAGTCAGTGCAGGTAGCAATTTCAGGTGGCATCATGACCACAGCTGATTGCCAAGGGACAGCCTGGGGCAATAACTCCGTGGAGCACAAACGCCAATCCTACGGCAACAGTCCATCCAGTCAGCATTTCTGCTACACTGGCGTGACAGCTGTGGATGTAGCAATACACATGCAGCCTCAGGATGCTTTGCAAAGGGCCACCAACTGCAGTGACCCCAAATCAGACTGAGACGCTTGCCCAAATACCATCCATTCAGAGTGAGTGCTTCCCATTGCCAGGGCCAGGGGAGGGTTGGCATGAGGGTTGGTCGAGTCTCCCTTATGCTGAGCTATAGAGCGAACTGGGTAGTGAAATGGCTCAGCACTAACTCGTCACAGTTGCTGCTCTTGCAGAGAACTTGGGTTTGGTTTGCAGCGCTGACTTGGAGGCTCACATCTGTGATGACTGTTTCAAGGGATTCAACACCCTCTTTTAACCTCCAAGGGGACACACCAGACACACACATACAATGTACAAACCTGCATCATGTAAGCAACACATATACACATAAAGGAAAAATAAACCAATCTCTAAAGGTAAGAATCAGTGGGAGAGGGGCTGGAGAGACAGCTCAGCGGTCAAGAGCATTGACTGCTCTTCCAAAGGTCCTGAGTTCAATTCCCGGCAACCACATGGTGGCTCACAATCATCTGTAATGAGGTCTGGTGCCCTCTTCTGGCCTGCAGGCATACACGCAGAAAGAATATTGTATACATAATAAATAAATAAATACGGGGGGGGGGAGGATCAGTGGGAGAGCTCTTGCCTGGCGTACTTGGGTACGGGTTTGATTCCCAGCCTGTGAGGGTGCAAACATGAACCCAGTGTGGACCTTCCTTCCTTCCTCCAGTTGTCTTCCTCCTTCCTGACTCGTTCTTTCAGGCCCCCGTTCATATCTCAGTTCCAAGAACAAACGACTTCTCTGCTGCTTCACGTATCCAACGCTTGGCGAGCGGTTCTCGCTTATTGTGCTGCCGCAGGTGAACAGACAGACGGCGCCCGCTGGAGTCTCCCAACCCTGGCCGAGAGCATCTGCTCTTTGCATGGTGTCAGATCCCCAGTGTCGTCTGTTTCAGGGTCCAGGTGAGATCATGGAAGGCAGGATTGGCTAGGACCGTGACACAGCGAGCCATCTGTCACACAGACACCGCAATGTCGGGAGCACTGGCAGATGCAGATGACCTGATGCTGTCTAGGGGTGTAGGAATGAGTCCATTTGTGCCACCAGCTAAAGAGTGAAAAGGTGCCTGGCAGTGGTGGTGCACGCCTTTCATCTTAGCACTTGGGAGGCAGAAGCAGCCTGATGGATCTCTGGGATTAAGACCAGCCTGGTCTACAGAGTGGATTCCAGGACAGTCAGGGCTACACAGAGGAAAAAAAAAGAATTAAAAGATGATGCTAGGAGTGGAATCCCAGCACCGGGGAGGCAGAGACAAGCAGATCTCCTGAACTGAGGCCAATGGATCTACAGAGTTCCAGGGCAGCCGTCTCTGCATAGTGGGACTCTGTCTTAATAAGAAAGGGGGGGCTAGAGAGATGGCTCAGCAGTCAAGAGCACTGACTGCTCTTCCAGAGGACCCATGTTCAGTGCACAGAACTCACAAGGCAACTCGGAACCATGTTTACTCCAGTTACAGGGGACCTGGAACCTACGGTAAAACATTAATGCACATAAAATAAAATTTTGAAGAAATTAAAAGAAAGGATGACTGCTCATGACTGGCAGCAGATCGATCAGAATGAATCGTGAGTCATTTTCTGGGAACATTAAGATAAGAACTTGCTCTTTAATGTTTGTTTCTTGGGACAAGGTTTCACTATGTAGCCTTAGCTGGCCCGGGATTCCATGTGTAGATCGGGTCAGACTTGAACTCACAACACACACATCCCAAAAGTTAAAAAAAGGAAGGGGGAAGAAGGGAAGAAGAAAGGAAGAAGTCTTGGGGAGTCCTGAGTCCTGGTAGAGAGGTTAAATGATACCAGGGAAATCTCCCTCTTAGGGTCTCTCTTTCAGGTTTTCAAGACAGGGTCTCACTGTATAGCCCTGGCTATCCTGGAACTTACTCTGTAGACCAGGCTGACCTCAAACTCTCAGAGATATACCTGCCTCTCTCTCCTGAGTGCTGGGATTAAAAGTACCTGCCACAACACCCAGCTGGGTTCTTTCCTTCCTTCTTTCCTTCCTTCCTTCTTTCAGTTTATCGAGACAGAGTTTCTCTGTGCACTCCTAGCTGTCCTGGAACTCACTCTATAGACCAGGTTGGCCTTGAACTCAAGAAGATCCGCCTGTCTCTGCCTCCCAAGTGCTGGGATTAAAGGCATGTGCAACCACCATCTGGCTCGCTCTTTCTTTTTATAAAAAATAATTTATTTTAATTTATTTTATGTGCATTGGTGTGAAGGTGTCAGATCCCTGGAACTGGAGTTAGACAGTTGTGAGGTGCCATGTGGGTGCTGGGAATTGAATCCAGGTCCTCTGGAAGAGCAGCCAGCGCTCTTAAATGTGAGCCATCTCTCCAGCCCCAGGTTCTTGTTTCTTAATTTAAGCAAATTAAGCCAGGCAGTGGTGGTGCCTGCCTTATTCCCAGTACTCAGGAGGCAGGGGCAGGTGAATCTCTGGGAATTTGAGGTCAGCCTGGTCTACAGAGTTTGTTCCAGAACAACCAGGGCTACCCTCTCTCTAAAATAAACATTAACTAAATAAATTAAGAACAGACACAAACAGAAACTTGAGGATAACCCATTAGTGTTTAAAAGGGAAACCCCAGGATAGGCAAGCTGTAAACCTCACAGGAAGAGAATGGAAAAGAGAGGACCATGGAGTCAGTCACGCTGTGTTAACTCCAAAGACGGGAGGAGAAGGAACACTGACCTAAGTAATCAGGGCTAAATTAGTTAAAGAAGCAATTAATTAAAACAAGCTTTTCTGCTCATGTATACAGGCTGTACCCCCCCTAACTTGGGGGTTCTGGGTTATGTGCCACACTGACCTTCTGAGACTGAGTCAGTAACTGGCTGTCTAAAATTATCCATAGAGGTTTTGGAGGACCCAGACAGGGGGGCACAGGAAGACATAAGGAGGGGCTTAGAGAAATGCTTGGCCTTTCCCATCTGGGAAGTATGGAGAGTTGTCATCTGATTGTTCCAACACTGCTCTTTGGATCTATCAGGTATTTTAATCCCAATATCTGACTTCAGAAATGTTTTTATTATTTTATTGACAATAGAATAACTTATGTAAATGAAGTAGTGGGGCTCACAGGATCAGCACTGGCGGTGAGGAGGGCAGGGGGGTTCCAAATGGAGGATTTGGCAGGTAGAATAGGCAGGGTTACAGGAGCAGAACATAAGCGTGACAGGTTCATAACGTGCTCCGGAAACAACATGATTGCAAGATGGTCATAACAATCTTTTGAAACAAAGGTATAGCACGATTAATAAAAACCCAGAGACAGAAATTGGGGTTCAACCTGAAGGTCAGAAAAGCAAAACAACCAGCCACTGACTCTTACCTCTACCTCAATCCAAAATGACGATCCTGCCTCTAGGAATCTCAGAGAGAGGTTGTGTGTGAGAGCTGTCTCCTTGTTTTATATTCCTCTTTATGGCTGGGATTAAAGACGTCCACCACTACCACCCGGCTTCAATGGCAAACTAGTGTGGCTACTGCGATTAAAGGTGTGTGTCCCCACTGCCTGGTCTGTAAGGCTGACCAGTGGGACTGTTTACTCTCTGATCTTCTGGCAAACTTTATTTATTAAAATATAATTGAGCCGGGCGGTGGTGAAATATCACTACACAAATGTAGGTTTGCAAGATGGTTATAACAACTTTTTGAGATATGGTTGCCATTCCTGGGACAGGTCCTTGAGAAACAGAGATTTAATCATAAACAAGAATGAACTAAGTTTGTCTTTACTATAAAAAGACTTTCAAACATAAGATGGAGGCAGACTGGTTCATCAACCTCAGGGAGGGAACAATGGAAAAAGAGCAGGGAAGCCTGAAGCACCAGTAGGCCCTGGGCAGCCCCAGAAGAGAAAGACAGAAGGGAACAGTTCTGGGAGAGCACTCGGGACCAAGCACAGAACCCCATGGCAGCAGGAGGGATGGTACTGGGGGCAGGAAAAGTACAGAATCTTAACTTCTTGGAGTGTCCCTGGAGGCCAGGTCCCTGAACCATCCCACTGAGTTAAGCATGATGGAGGAGAGAAGGGTTTGTCTCCACCTAGAGAAAGATTCCATTCTTCACAGCAATAAGACCACAGGTCATTGGGTCTTGATTATTCCATTTTTTTAAAAGCCTCTGAAGGCCTTAATCGATGGCCTAGTCTCCCCAATTTTCACACCAGCTTCTCTTTATGTGAAAACCATCTATGTTAGCCAGGATGGTGGTGAATGCCTTAGGCTGAGGCAGGAGGCTAGTGAGCTCAAGGCCAGTTTGAGCTACTGAGTAAAACTGTCTCGGAAACGGCTGAGTATGGTGGCGCACACCTTTAATCTGCAGAGGCAGATGGATCTCTGTGAGTTTGAGGCCAGCCTGGTCTGCAGAGTGAGTTCCAGGACAGGCTCCAAAGAAACCCTCTCATAAAAAACAAAGACAAACAGAAAGACTTACTTCTCAGTCAGTCCCCACTCTTTGTTCTCATCCTACCTCGTTTTGAAGTGGCAATTACTAGGGTTAATGAACATCACTGTGGTGACCTGCAGGGTTTGAGTCCAAGCACAGGCTGAGGCAGCATATTACAGGTATATTTTGGAACTATTTTCAACTTATAATGCAGGAGCCTGTACTGGCCACTAGATGTCACCATTGTCCCACTGG